ATTATAAAAATTATAGTTCTTAAACGTGTCTACGTCATAATACTTTATTCGTTGTATTTGTGAACGGAGAAAGTGCTTCGAACGATATTAGCGGAAGTCATCGAGAAATTTAAATGATACGTTACAATATTTCAGAATGTATGAATATTGTGCTGGGATTAGTCATGCGCTGGTTAATTTTCTCTGGGTACCTTATGAAGGATACCTATTATAAATTCAACTCGCGGCTCTCCTTATATTAGCTCACTAGATACGAGAAAACGAATCAGTGTCAATGACAGGCATGTTGCTGTTCCATTTTTTGCCACAAGAATGTCATTATTCGAGATACACTGCAATCTCACCGGAATTTCTCACACTTTCTCCGTCTTTACTAGTAGTTTATAAGACGACGTGTGACTCTCTATTTACTTATTTTACAACTAGTTAATTGCTTATACAAGATCAATTTAAAACACAATGTCAATGTCAAAGAGCGTTGGTATTATAGAATCTTATTCTTTTCAGAAAGTTTACTTTTATTTGCATCTTTTAACTTTTTCCATCATTTTATAAATAAACCGTCATGAAAGAGATAAAATGTGAAAGATTTAATATTTTTTAATTAGAACTAAAAATAAGGATGCAGTTTTTTTTCGAGTGTTTTGCAAGAGAGAACTCTGAAAATATTCTAATTAAAATTTTTTGTTCCTTTATCTTGTTTAAATAAATCAGTTTTTAGGAAGAAAAAAACCCTTAAAACATCAATATTACATAATATTGTTACAAATTCCATTTTTCGCGGCACGAAGGATGATGCCGCGCGATTTCTGAGAATCGAAAACTTGGCATTGGCGATATGAACGGGTTCTGTTGTGACCTTGCCAAGGACCAAGTTGAACAGATGGAGTTGGCCGAGAAGACGTCGCATGGACGTTAATTGACAGAATGAACGGTCGCGTGATTCGAGCCGAGCGGCTAACACATGCACGTGACTCGGTTGGACTTTTCCCTCGATGGTATTAATCCGTATGAGGAAAGGCGTGCAAGCGTAGCGCTCTTTCTCCTTCTTTCTCATGTCCGCACTGATCAGCAATAACTGGCACGTGCAAACGCACGTGTAATCACGTGCAGCACGTGATATTGGCTCCCGCGCGCGCGGATATATAGGAATTGTTATTATTGTTTATACCCTGGTAATGTCTATGCAACAGCATTGATTCTACGGTATACACGTGTAGGTGTGAACGCTACAATTATTAGACGATTGCGAGATTGCGTTTGCAACATAACTATGATACTATAAGAGGGGTTAATTTTACCATAAAGTTAAATTGTAAACAAAAATTTAAATCAAAAATAGAACTCTCGAGAATGTCAATAACAATAAACAAACAGATCAATGAGAGTCAAAAACTGCGGTAGTTAGTGCGAGTTTAAAATTATTTATTACAATATAATTACAAAACTAAATCAAACGTTTCGGCTACTATTTGAGCCATTTTCAATGATATGAATAATACCCCTTCAAATTTCATGTAGTATGGTCGTCAATCAGCTGCACAGGTGTAGCGACACATCATCTCCATTAGACAAAAAATTAGTTGGTTTTTTGGTGATTAATGGACAACAATGCAGCAAATTAAACAAACATAAATCACATCAAAAGAATTTATAACATTATACATGTAGAATAAAATGATACAAAGTGAAATAAAGTTAAATTGTAAAAATGTACGCATGTAACTATATCGAATCTCTCATATTTTCTATACAAGCTCTCTAATTTTTTTTATAGATTCTTTATTTAATCTAAACTGAACATTTTTAAAGAAAAAAATATTGAAAAGTTACAACAGTTTTTAAATTGCAAATCTAAAAATGTTGAACAAATTTTATAAATTAAATATTTTAGAAATAAAAATAGTTTGCAAAATCTTGCTTGTAATTTATTATAATACCATGTGAAATATGTTTTATTAAAATTGGAAATTAAGTAAAAAATGATTAATTTAAACATTATACAATAAAATTAAGAAAAATCGACGTTATATCTATGAAAAAATTCGTAAACAGAATATAAAGCATGTGGAATTATAGAAACAACCTGTTCAGAAAATGAATATTAAATATCACATGCGCCATGTAATCAATTTCATCATAAATGAATATTTATCGAGCTTATTAAATTTGACATTCTTTTGTCATATATCTTAATATTCATTATAAATGCAGAACGTATTTTGACCTTTGAATTATCGTCATTTAAGAGAGCAATACTCTTCAATACTTAATTTAGTCGTTCAATTAGTCACTGAATATACATTTTGATATTTTCTACAAAAAGTTGAGAGATAAATTTTTGGATTAAATTTTTACCTTGAGAAAAAGTACTTTAAATTGATTATAAAACGGTATTTTCTGATTACAAGTACAAATCCCGCTATATCTGCCGACCCTGCTTCTATATGTCAGTGTTTCTAACAAAAATGCAGCAAAGTTGTAGTCCTTGTAGATCGCGGTATTCACATGCAGCTACGACGACGAGTATGTAACTAACGTGTAGGCGGTGGATCTCGTGAGTGTAGCTCGCGACGAGCCAGACTCACGTGCTTATACAGACAGCCGTTTGCATGCCTTTTCGCGGCTTCCCATACATTCAAAGTGACACGTGTTGTAATAACCATTTTACCAATGTTTATTCGACAAATGTCAAAGCCCTGGATACGAAGCAATAAGAGGATAATGTTGAAAAGCTTGCTTATGAGATAGCGGCAGAAGCGAGAAATCTGCATTGCAGCGGTTTCGAGCGCTGTCACGTCCTAGAGAGACAGCATACTCTCCGAGGTTATCAAAATTAGCATCTGTAGAAGGAAGTGTTCCACTTTAGAGAACGAAGGATAGAAAGAGGGTGGAGATATAATTATGCGGGATAAAGCCAGACGTAATAACTATGATAGAACAAAATGGAAAAACAGATAGTAACAACTAAAATCACTACTCGCGAAGAATTATGATGAAATTGCGGAATTTTCTCATCTTCAAAATAATAGCATAAGTTGCACAAAAGAAAATATTTCGTAATTACTGCAGAATGTCAGTAGTTAGAATTTTATATTTTTTTTTCAGTTGTGATAGTTATTTAAAATTTATAGCTCTAATTTTTTTTTTAAATTAATGTTAATAATTTTTGAATATTTTAACTAATACATTTTTTGGTCTATATAAAGAATAATTTACAAAAAAATATTCGCTCATGTTATATAAAACAATCTATAGGAAAATCTGGTCAATAATCGAGCTAAAGAATGTAAAACTTTAATTTAGATATCAATAGATATAATAATATAGCAGTACGTTTCGTGTGTGTGTGTGTGTGTGTGTGATCACAGGTCCCTCTTCAGCATATAATTTAATACGAGTTTATAATATAAATAAAATCGTAAGATTAAGTCGCAAATTTACCATTTTTGGCATAATAGGTTGAGTCAAATTCCATAGGTTAGAGATATTACGTATAATGATGTTAGTTTTCAAAATAGACGTTGAATCCTTGATCTAATATTTTTATCCAACTTATAAGCATTAACCGAATAAATCGTATATAGAGTAACAAATATTTAGTAATAAGGTGAATTATCTAAACACATTTTTAGGCGTAAAATAAAAATAAACAAAGTTTATTTATATTATAAACTCATATTATTTTTTTATTTATATTGTAAACTCGATTTATTTAGATTATTTTATTTTATTTCTATTATAAACTCATATTAAATTATATGTTGAAGAAGGCATGTGATCACACACACACACACACACACACACACACACACACACACACGAAACGTACTGATATATAATAGATGTTCTAATTAAAGTTTTACATCCTTTATTTAGTCCGATTATTAACCAGATTTTCTTATATATCAATTTAAAAAATTTGTTGTACAAGAGAGTGGTATTGTTTTTATTAACAATCAAATTTCTCACAGACTTTAGAGTAAAACCGACACATTAATTAAAACAAAATAGTATGTGTGTGTGTGTGTGTGTGTGAATAGATAAGATATTCTCTGTTATTAAAATGTTTGAACTTAAATTAAATAAAGCTATAAAATGACATGTTTGTCCAAAACAATGTCTATAAACACGTTTTATTGCATATTGTGTGTAAAGTTTAACTTTATATTATCTCAATAAAAAATTATTAAAATTATTGTAGCTTGTCTTTTAATTGTTAATATACCACTTCTAATGTAATTGGCGAAACAGAGGACAACTTTCTTTTCTCCAATTATATTTTTTTACGAGATTATTATTTATACATAAAAATTCTAATAAATTATACGTTAACAATTAATATCAATTGATAATAAATTAATGCTTGAAATTCTTATTAATTTTTCATAAAACACATATAGTCCGGTATTCTCGTATATAATATCTCCCGAATTATCATACATTATAAATTGTTATTACGATTACTACAAATTTTGTGATACATACAATGTACTATAAATATATATAATGTATTTTACGTACAAAATATATATAATGTATTTTACAATATATATATGTACTATACATATATAATATATGATATTTACTGTGTATAATATATATGTATGCTATATATTTTATATTAATACATGTAATAATGTTCTATTTGGAATAATTAGGAAAATAATTAAAAATGTAAAGCCTACATAAAATAACAGAAAATGACAAGTTATATATACATAACATGTGTGTGTGTGTGTACATAGAGAAAAAAATTTATTAAACTTTAATGAATATTTTTTAGAATAGTTTTAGCGGAATATCGATTTAAGGTAAATAAATATTTAGACAAATGAAATAAAATATTTGAATCAAACTAATGGTTCTTATATCTAGTAAATATGTGTTTACATTTAATATATATATAAATATTCCGCTCGGACTATATTCAAAGAAATATTTATTAGAATTTAGTAAATTTTTTTCTCAGTGTATCCCATAACAAAAATATTACATACCTGGCATTAATCTTTCCTGTGAGGGATGTCCTAAAATCTCGGTACCGGCGAGTAATAGAATCGCCAAGATTCCAACAAGATGCATCCTCATGGTCACTCCCTATCTAAGCTATCCTAATCACAATCAATGAAGATAACAGGAAATTTCGCGAACACGTGACGGCAAACTGCACGACGCGGTCAATTTTTAAAAGTTGTTTTATTTCAACTTTCGAACTTACGCGAGAGATTCTCAAGTGTTAATCTAAGTCTGCCGTACGGTTTGTCGGTAGAGCTCCTATCGCTGTCGGACGATGCGGTAGTCTAGAGGGCCGCCTGGCGCTTTCACTGGCTTTATACGTGCGCATGAAAGCACTTCTTCTAAAAGAGGGGATTCTACTCGGTTCTCATACACGTCACTAAACGTACTATGAGATATCGCGGAGAATCTTAAAATTTCGTGGCACTTGTATTTACCAATTTTTAATTTCAGAATAATAAAGAACTTTATTTCTGATTACTTCAAAAGTAAACAGTTAAAATATGCAAGGTGATCCTGCAGATTATAAATACAATAGAATACGTCATATATATACGTCAAAAGCTTTATTATTTTTGTAATTAGAAGTTTTAGTTTCTTTCGATATATAATATTATATTTAGTAAAAAAATTGTTGTAGTAATGCGATTATTAAGAATTTTGGTTGTAATTGATCATTGTAGAATAATCCAATCAACAGACAATGTTTCTAAGACATTTTTAAAAAATTTATTTAATGTGGGCGTGTAAAAATTTTAAGTAAACATTTTAAAATATTTTTTAAATATTGTACGCTGATTAGGAATGACATAAAATATGTTTGATATCTAAAATGGTATAATGATAAAATAAGAGAAAATTATTTTTTTCTTAACATAAAAACATGTGTAGATATAATAGTTAGTCATTTCGATAATATAACTTTATATATTTAAGCAATAATTTTAGTATACGTTTTAGTTTATGGTCGCTATTAATTTAACAGTAAATCTTGCGTTACATGTTATTTCGATTGCTTTTCTCTCTAATTAGCATAGTAAGATCGATTTACTGCAAATTACTCAATAAGTTATTAGATTTAGGAATGAGTCGGATGTCGTATATTTTTGCGATACGTATACATTATCAATAATTTGATTATCGATATATTAAAAGAAAACTTGATAACTCGTTTTATAGCTAATAAACGATCCTCGGCTTCATTTTTAAATATTAATCTGGATAGGATCTTATATAACTGCTTCTGATTAGTGAACTGGAGTAATTGGTGAAACAGAAAGAGAGAGAGAGAGAGAGAGAGAGAGAGGAGCAAATATGTGAAAATATAATCACGAGCGCAGAATTACAGGTATAGCGTTCCACACTATCGATTACATGGGTCGATGAGTCGTCAATCGTATAGTTAGCCACAATGCTGTTGTCATTACCAAAGCAACCACTCATTATCGCATGCTATTCTATGATTAATCGCCAATATAACCGGGAAATGAATGATGAAAGATAGAATTTAAAGATAAAATTTTTACAAGTTCGTCTATTTACCGTTTGAATCGTCATTATTACTCTCACCGAAACGATATATACATATATTTACGTGAGAAGATACACCCCACGAAGCACGTTTTTATTTAACACATGCTATTTTCAAATTTTTCTAAATTGTTTATTTTCTAATTTATTTGTTTCTAAATTGTGTCACGGAAATCTTACGTAATGCAATAAACAATAAATGATGACAAATGATATGCTATATAAAAAGATAAATTTACTTTTAATTGACAAAAATAGTTAAACGTATACTACAAAATGTATAATGAAGTGATAAATGTATCTAGTGTCTATCGTTCTTCATAATGATGAATGTCTGTGTCAATTTCCAAGATTTTCTCACGTTTTGAAAAGATTATAAAAAATATCCGGTCTTGTTGAATAGATTTTTTTAAAATGAATATTCTCGCTTTATAGTGTTAGGTCATGATACAAACCTGCAGTTTGATTCATTGTCTATTGCACCTTGCCGGTCAGTCCGCTGTCCTAGATGAATCATTACTGCACCCGAGATCATTATCCTTGGTCGTTGGAAATAATTCGTTCGCATGTTTCGAAAGCTTCGACAATCCTCCCGAGTTCTACGTTTTATATTGCTTAATGCATAGCTTCGAAGGCGCCAATCTAATTCATAAGCTTGAAGTACTCGGGTCGCTTTCATGATCGTGCATCAATGTCGTAAAGTAATATGTGCAGTAGTAAATGGCCCTAATGATAGTATTGTTTTAGCTTAATAATTTATAATTAGATGTTTTGTTTTGTTGAAAAGATTATATTAATTTTTTTTATCGCATTCTTATCTATGATATCTGTTAATCGATAGATATAAGTTAGAATTTAAATTTTTGAAAGAAGGAAATTATTTGTTAAAACTAAATTATGTATTTTAGAAATGCATAACGCAATCTACGGCATGAGATCTTGTGCAGAAATGTAGGAGGAAGAGGATACCGAGAAACTGTCTATCACTCGAGAACGAACCGGTTTCTGCATTTCCGCGATTTAGCAAGCCTCATTATTTTGAAGTCAGGCAGATTTTGTTTTGAGTATCGTTAATCATTCTGGACTGCGAGAAGAAGAGAGATCTCCGGATGTTTTTCGTTAAGCTACGAGAGGTTACGAACGCGTTATTCATCACTAGGTATTCACACGTCTTCATCTGTATCCTCATTAAGCTTAGATACGCTGAAAATGAAATGGAACAGGTCGCATTAGCTCTATCACTACATTAAAAATTTAACTGATGGAGAAAAGAATCCGTAAATTTGTTTCGGAATTAGTTATGCTCTCGTAGTGGTTGCTTAGAAAATCACTTCGTATAACTACTAATTACCTTTTGAAAAGGGAATTCTACAAGTAATCTAGTATTCGAGCTGTGATAAGTAAGATGGTAATCAGTAGAAACGTGAAAGTAGTCATACTAAATCGTACATATTAAGTCGATATATGGATTATATCAGTAATGTTCTGTGTGTATTTACCAGCGACATGGTGATAGTTGCTGTTGCAATCTTAGCCATGCGTATTGAGTCGAATCAGATTGATCGATCTTGGATTGACGCAAATTCCAAGTTACGCTAAATCCAATTATGCTTGATTAACGCAATGATCTCATATCTAAACTGTTATTATTGGATTTAGTAATATGTTACTATCAAAATAACAAAGGGTTATATCTTACGAATCGTCTCCGGACTGACAGGTTCACGGTTTTTTACAGCAGTATGAAGGCACTTAATTCGCCTTCACGAACTCATAAACGATCTATTGCAGTTGCTCCCTGCACTGCTTTGCCATCGTAAGGATATTTCTTATACGGATGAAAAGTAAATGAAGCTATTTCATAATATGTATACTCGGTTTCAAGCATGTTCCTGCGTATTTTTACATGAAATACGAATAGTTGTAATCATTAGATTACCACGATTGAGTTTGCAATAAACTCGTAAGTGCATTTCCTTATGATCTGTTTCAGCTATCATTAATTTAAATTTCATTGAAGAAATGATTGACATGAATAAATTGGTACAGAAATTGTTTAAAGAATTTTTTATTTGACGGACAAAATGTATAAGAATGCAGAATATAAAAATTTTGCGCATTATATTAATACATAATGAAAATTATTATGTTTTACATAAACATCGATTCTCATTAAATTAACAAAGAATAAATGCATATTAGTCAGGATATTTATTTACAATAAATATTTATTTAAACTGAAAATATGTTGAAATATTATATGACTCATTACTTGAAATATCAAAGGTATATAATTATATGTTAATAAACTTTTAGAAGGAAAAACGGACGGAAAATTGATAATAATCGCAAAGTTAATTAGTAATTCTGATTTTGGATGCTGATTTAATTTAAAAGGTATTTCGCAGCAGCCTCCTTTCTCTCAAGCCGATAATGTCTCGGTAAGACTATGAGTTCGTGCTGATACCTGACACATTAATCTCGGGTGGTGCAAACATCTTTAATAATTAGCCTCCATAAGGGAAGTGTCGACACATTCAGTTGCTCTGCGTCTCTCCCGCTCTAACATTTTTCCTTTTAATTACGTTTCCACATTACGATATCTTTGTAATAATCCGAGTGTCAAAGTACTTGGCCCCCTGATCTTGATTAGTATGATAATTGTGGCAATAAAATTAAAACGATAGTTTGTTTAGGGATTTTTTTTATTTTAAACGCTACGTAATTCTTATTTCAGAAAATTTAAGAGCTCGAGATACGTCACTTTGGACAGTCGCTTATTCAAACGAATAAGCATTCCTTTTACTTAAACCATCGACCATTAATCAGTATAAATGCATAAAAATTTTCATCAGCTTGTAATGACTTCTACGGTTCAAATATTGGCGCAATTTAGGTTGGTGCAATATCGACACAGCTATGTGGCACTCCGCTTTCTGGTAGCTCATTTAAATCTTCAGTGGCGATTCATTCGACTTGAATTGTGCAATGAATCTCATAAGGAATAAGTCGTTAATACAATTAATGTATATCTGTCGTTGGCTAACAGACAAATCTTGAATGTCTGAGAAAATTCATATATAATTACCATATTTTCAATGTTGTGCTATGAAGCTATATAAAATTTTTTAATATACTCGTATATGAATCCTAAATTAATTTAGAATATATTATTATATATTACAACTTAATATACTTTGAATTTTAAATATAATCCTTTTTTGAGAGTATTAATTTTTTTGGAACGTATTAAAATAGTAGATATACATTTTTTTATGTTTCTTTCTATATATTAATTTTAAACTGTTTTTAAGTGATTATATTTATAATTCAAAGAAAGAAAACCTCACACTAGATATATCATTACGTATAGAGCAAGAATGTAATTAAAATTGGAATGATGATTTGATTTCGTTAACTCACTATGAATGACAAAAATAGTCATTCATAATATTTTATATTATTAATGCATTTTCGTTATAAATAATCAATTAAAAATTCTTTGTTAAAATAAGGAGCAACTGTTTGCAATTATTAATCTT